AGGAACGGAATATAAGACATTATGCTCACTGAACCACACATTTTTTGTACACTAGGGTTTCACAACCGGCAGTGCTCGCACCCCCAAAAAGGTGCGAGATGGTGTTCTAGGAGATGCAAGATAAGGTTTTCTTCTTTGTAAATTAAACTATTCGAGGACGGAGTGTAACGCACTTATGTGTGTAAAGTGGGCCAGGATCAACTTCAACGTGTATATTTTTGAAAAGTTTTGAACGCACCCTGATGGTATGCACATAACTACACTAGAGTAGTGACGCCATCGAAGCGAAATTTCACGTCGATCGGAATCCGACCGACCTTCCAAATTGCTTGGTCGGAATTTGACTGCCTGAATTCCGACGGAAATTGTCGGATTTTCCGACCGACCGTCGGTTGGATGCCATCACTACGGTACAGGCACCCACTTTAGAGGATGAGAGACACGAACCGAACATTTGTAGGGGGTGCGAAAACGTCTAAAAATATTTTACAAGGTGCGGGAGAGGAAGGAGGAGTGGGGAGCAGGTTCAGAACAACCGGTGTACGCGAAGAAGAACAACTTTCCAACATCCTATATCAAGTTGGAAGTCCTCTCATAATTCTCAGTTGTATGACTTAGCTCACCAAGGTAGATAATACGCTCAACTTCTGCCTTGTCACCCATTTCTTCTTCGATTTTGGCTTTGAGCATCTCGATGGTGTACTGAGGCTCCACGTCGATTGTTATAATCTTGTCAGCAGGGTAGCACCGGGCACGAATTTGCATATTTGAAACGATCCTGCAATCGAGAAACGCATTAACTAATGCCAGTCAACCAAGTCATCTGCACACTGAACAACACAATTACCAGGCAGTCTATCAATATTCGAACTAATATTGTCATGTTCTTTTCCGTCTTCGAAGCAGTTTGGCTTTCGTCTAAACGACGACAAAGACCCCTACATCAGAAGCAAAGGAAATTAACCCTAAGGAATTTTGCCGGATGATATGGGCAAATGCAAAGCTGGAGCACCCCTAAAGATGAATGGAGAAAGCGATCTCCAATTACAGTTGTGTAAAGAGCCCCAAAAATCGAAGACTTCCAACCGCAGGCGCAAGAGCTTGTTCGATGAGAGGCTTCGGCAAACCGAATTTCGATTATCACCGATCGAAAACCGAACGATGCTCGAAATTTAGTGCCTGCAAAA